TTGATCATTTGTAACTCCCCTCAGGACAATCTTCAGTGGATGTTTCATGAAAGGTGCCAGGCAGAGCAGACTTTCCAAGTAGTAGCCAATACTGCGACTGGGGCTGCAGTCGTGTTCCAAAGAGCCTCCATACAGAAGACCAGGCTGGTAATACAAGGTAGTACCTGCAGAAGATGCCAGGGGAGCAAACCAAACCAGCCTGCTGTCAGCACACTGGCCATTACTACAGCGTAAAGATACTTTGCAACGATGTATATGGGTAAATTGGAGACAGGGGAATTTATGAAAAATAGTATTACTTCCAGCATGCTGTTTCTGCCTGCAGTTAATAAATGGGCCAACACACACGAGCGTCTGTCTGCCCTGCACATCTTTTATCCTCCTTTCCCCTTCTCCCCCCAAATCAAGGACCTCTTAGCAATCTCCAAAATGCTGACTCAAGCAATTATTGTCCTCCACAGCAGCAAACTCTTCACCAGACCATCAGGTTATCACTGTATCAGAATATCTGGTGGTAGTTCATCTGCTTTACTGAACAACCATAATCCCTAAAGTTAAAAAAAAAAAAAAAAAAAAAAAAGGAGGACAAGAACCAGATGAGATTTGAGATTTTTATGTGGGATGCTTCTTGATCAAACCAATCCCTTTTCTGAGCATGACTAGGCAAGCAGTCTTGCTCAGAAGTTTGCCTTTGTAGAAGCCTTGCCTTCTACAAAAATCCGTTCTGGTTCAGAGGGACCTTCCCACACAATGAAACCCTGCATACCAAACAGAACACTAATTTTAACTCTTGAGCAATACAGTTTCCTTAACTCTCTGCATTATGGTGGAGCACTGATCTTTTTGCACATGATCAATTACTACAAAACTTCTCAGCGCGGTTATTTCTGACCTTCTCAGTCAATGATACTGGAACCTCTGTCAAGCCAAAACTTTTATTTTCCCTGCAGTGGTTGATAGAGCCTGGAAGACCAGAACAGAGGAAGAAAATGAAACAGAACTCACCTGTTTGGTTTATTTCAATTCGAGAGCCGTTGGTCACTTTGTCAATCAGGCGAATAAAACTTGCTTCAAAATCTAAGGAATGGAAGAAAGCCAGAAATTTAAAGTTCCTCAAATTTATCCCTGGAAAATAAGAAACTTCAACACCATCCTTGTACATTTTCCCTTTCCTGCCTTTCACGACAGAAGGGCTACCCTTGCTCTTCAATTTGCTGTTGTATAACTCTCCCCATGAGAAAAGGCAATTCACTACAAAAACAGAGACGTTAATTTGAGCCTCCATGCTCTACAATGGAGATGTGATGGTTGGCCCAGTCACACTCCTCTCCCCAGCACACAGCGAGGGATACAAGTTGGCACTTCTGACCGCAGTGGCCTGAGGGATCACTCAAGCCCAGGATAAAAATGCTGACAATTTACGTTTTGCTCAGTACGAAGCAAAACATACAAATCCTAGCAAGCAGGACTCATTATATTTAAGCACAACAAGCTAACAACGGCTTCCCATTATTCCCTGTACAAGTCTTGGAAGAAGGTGGCATTCAGATGTGAAGTGCTGGTGCTGCACAGCTGTTCCACAAACACAACTATCTGCAGACTTTTGAATTTTCCATTTCCAAAACTGTCATTGACATAATAAAGACTAGATACACACAAGTCTTCCCACTGTCTCTTTTCTTGCCTACCGTGCACTCTATAGCAGTTGTATGGAACTAATTCCTCAGTTTCTTTCTTTTGTTTGTGTAGACTCTTGCTCAGAGACACAGGAAAGGACAAGCATATTAGAAAAGAAAGCAGAAAAGAAAAAAGAAAAAGAAAAAAAAAAGGAAAATAAAAAGGAAAGGAAAAAGGAAAGGAAAAAGGAAAGGAAAGGAAAAAGGAAAGGAAAAAGGAAAGGAAAAAGGAAAGGAAAAAGGAAAGGAAAAAGGAAAGGAAAAAGGAAAGGAAAAAGGAAAGGAAAAAGGAAAGGAAAAAGGAAAGGAAAAAGGAAAGGAAAAAGGAAAGGAAAAAGGAAAGGAAAAAGGAAAGGAAAAAGGAAAGGAAAAAGGAAAGGAAAAAGGAAAGGAAAAAGGAAAGGAAAAAGGAAAGGAAAAAGGAAAGGAAAAAGGAAAGGAAAAAGGAAAGGAAAAAGGAAAGGAAAAAGGAAAGGAAAAAGGAAAGGAAAAAGGAAAGGAAAAAGGAAAGGAAAAAGGAAAGGAAAAAGGAAAGGAAAAAGGAAAGGAAAAAGGAAAGGAAAAAGGAAAGGAAAAAGGAAAGGAAAAAGGAAAGGAAAAAGGAAAGGAAAAAGGAAAGGAAAAAGGAAAGGAAAAAGGAAAGGAAAAAGGAAAGGAAAAAGGAAAGGAAAAAGGAAAGGAAAAAGGAAAGGAAAAAGGAAAGGAAAAAGGAAAGGAAAAAGGAAAGGAAAAAGGAAAGGAAAAAGGAAAGGAAAAAGGAAAGGAAAAAGGAAAGGAAAAAGGAAAGGAAAAAGGAAAGGAAAAAGGAAAGGAAAAAGGAAAGGAAAAAGGAAAGGAAAAAGGAAAGGAAAAAGGAAAGGAAAAAGGAAAGGAAAAAGGAAAGGAAAAAGGAAAGGAAAAAGGAAAGGAAAAAGGAAAGGAAAAAGGAAAGGAAAAAGGAAAGGAAAAAGGAAAGGAAAAAGGAAAGGAAAAAGGAAAGGAAAAAGGAAAGGAAAAAGGAAAGGAAAAAGGAAAGGAAAAAGGAAAGGAAAAAGGAAAGGAAAAAGGAAAGGAAAAAGGAAAGGAAAAAGGAAAGGAAAAAGGAAAGGAAAAAGGAAAGGAAAAAGGAAAGGAAAAAGGAAAGGAAAAAGGAAAGGAAAAAGGAAAGGAAAAAGGAAAGGAAAAAGGAAAGGAAAAAGGAAAGGAAAAAGGAAAGGAAAAAGGAAAGGAAAAAGGAAAGGAAAAAGGAAAGGAAAAAGGAAAGGAAAAAGGAAAGGAAAAAGGAAAGGAAAAAGGAAAGGAAAAAGGAAAGGAAAAAGGAAAGGAAAAAGGAAAGGAAAAAGGAAAGGAAAAAGGAAAGGAAAAAGGAAAGGAAAAAGGAAAGGAAAAAGGAAAGGAAAAAGGAAGAATATGCTAGTATTCTCGTATTTAGGTATCCCAACCTGGTATGACTCAATATCAAGGAAAATAGATGAACATACACGGAATTCAAAACCCAGGTAGTTTTAAGGACCAACAGCACCTGCATAACAGTTGGTAGGTTGCAGAACTTCCCTCGCAGTAACTTACTTCTTAACAGTAACCAGATTTTTTTCTTCTAGGACGCAGTAAACATTTAAACCAAAAGCTATCTTCAGAAATTACAGTCTGTTAACATTTTCAGAATACAGCTGATGCCCCAGTCACACAACATTGGTTCTGCTTTCTGTTATGATAATTTCTAAAGTTAAAGTTTACGTGACAGCACTGGAACCTTTTCCAGTGCAAGAGTGGATTCCTGCAAAAATACACATTTCCCTCTTGGAGAACCAACCTGTAGAAGAGTTTTCATTTCAAATGTTACTGCCATGAAAAGCAGAGTGGGCTGCATGTTGAATTGTCAACACAAAACAGGGATTGTTATTATTTTTTTGCTGTTGCAGTCACAGTTTACGTCTTAACCCATGCTTGGAAAAGGCAATTCAAACACCTTTTAAAACAACGTGACAAAAACGACAAACTTCACCACCATCAAACATTCCATGATAATAATACACGCTTTGGGCCACGGTAAATATTAAGTCAAGCACATGATAATGTTTTGTCAGTTTCAGAGGAGAATTTCTAGCTACAAACTTAAGCCTCCTCAGGAGGCAGAGTAGCACCTGTGCTGGCTCTACCCCTGTTCTGAACTTCACACCTTGCCCAAAAAATAACTGAACACCATAATGATGTTTTTTCCTCAATCTCTATCCTATTTTCTTACTTCAGTTAAATGAGGAAATTTACTTTGGGGTGCCAAAGGTCCTGTACAAGAACGATGAACGTGCTCCCTAAGCAAGGTTTCCCTGAAAAGAGTCAGCCGTGCCAGAAGATTTCAGAGATGAGAAGTAAATGGATTTCACGTCTTTCACCTTTGCTACTATTCGGGCAAAACCCAGACAAAAATCAAAGCATAAAGGCTGACCCATGAAAACTGGGGGAACTTGGGCTGCCACCGGGAGACGGGGCACAGGACACCGGGCACACGGCGGAAAGCGACGGCCGGAGAGCCGGCAAAGGCTGCCTGCACCTTGGGACGGGAGATCCCGCTTCTACCGAGACTCGGGCCAGCCGCGGGGCTGCCGGCGAAGCTGATGCTCAACCGACCCAGCGCTTGGCGGATCCCCCCGCTCTCCCCACCCGCGACGAGCCGCGGCTGCCGGTCCGAGCGGACACACCCCCCCCCCCCCCGCCGCCGGCACTCGGGCTGACACCGAAACCAGACAGGGAGCCGACACCCTCCTCCGTGCTTCGGCCTCACCCGCCGCCCCGCGTCGCTTCCACACCCCCACCAAAGCCCCGCCACCCGCGGGTGTGCCAGCCCCACCCGAGACGGCGCCGGTGACCCGCCGCTCGCACCACGCGCTGTCCCGCGAGGAGGCACCGGCGCGCAGCCGGGACCCCCGGCACCCCCGCCCCCCGGGGTGGGACCCGCCGGGAAGGGGCGGGGGCTGCCGCAGCTCCCGGTGCGGCAGCAACCCGCCCGCCCGCCCGCCCGCCCGCCCGCCGCCCCTTCCTCTCCCGCAGCGGCCGCCCGGCGCTGCCGCTCACCGCGGAGGCCGGGGTCCTCCTCCTTGGCGCGGATCTTGCGGATTTTCAGCGGCCGCCCGCTGAGCGTGGACAGCACCAGCCGCTGCCGCAGGAAATTGCAGCCCGCGTAGCTGAGGCACTGCGCCTCGCCCGCCGCGCCGCCCGCCATGCCGCCGCCGCGCCCACGTGGTTGGAACAGGAAGCGCGGGGACCGCGGCGGGGCCAAAGGGCAAGGGGCGGGGCGGGGCGGGGCGCCGCCGGTAGGGGCGGGCGCGGCGGAGCCGGACTGGTGCCCGTCCGCGTCCCCGCCGCCGGCGGACCCGGTGTGTCGCGATAGCGGGCCGTCCGCGGAGCGGTGGGTCGGGTGGGAGCTGCGCGGCCGCTTACGGCCTCCGCCTCTGCTCGCCCTGCCCGCGCGTTTCTAACGGGAGGCTTAAGGCCGTGGAAGGCTTCGGTGCGGTTGGTTTGCTTGCTTGTTTTCCGCGGACGGTGGGTGGCCTGCCCGGGCCAGAGCCGCCTCCTCCCTGCGCTGCCGGGCGGGCGAGCGAGCCGGTCCCGCCGCCGGCCGTGGCGCCCGCGCCGGCCCCGCACCGGAACGAGCCGCTCTCTGCGGGAGCGCGCTCCTCCGGACACTGCTTTTCGGTAACTTATCTCTGGATGGCTGAAGGAAAACGAAGCAGAAGGTTGAGTTTGGTTTCCAGCCTCCGGGCCAGCCCGTTTTCTTTGGGACAGCGGGATAGTGGCAGAGCCCAGCTGTCCTTAGAGAAGAGACTGCTTGAGGCGTTCAGTCTGTATTTTAAGAGGAATATGGATTATAGTAGAGGTGTGACTGTCGATTGCTAGGCAACGTTTATGTGTGCAGCAAAAGAAGTTTCTTAGAGTATTTGGAAGGAGCCTACAACGATCATCTGGTCCAACTGCCTGATCAATTTAGAGCTGACCTAAATTTAAAGCCTGTTGTCAAGGGCATTGTCCAAATGTCTCTTAAACACTGGTAGGCTCAGGGCATCAGCCATCTCCCTAGGAAGCCTGTGCCAGCATTTGACCACCATCTCGGTAAAGAAATGCTTCCTAATGTCCAGTCTGAACCTCCCCTGATGCAGCTTTGAGCCATTCCCACGCATCCTGTCACTGGGTACCAGGCGGCTCAGCACCTCCCTCTCCACTTCCCTCCTCAGGGAGCTGCAGAGACCGAGGAGGTCACCCCGCAGCCTCCTGTTCTCCAAACTAGACAAGCCCCATGTCCTTAGCTGCTCCTCGCAGGAGATGCCTTCCAGCCCTTCCAACAGCTTTGTTGCCCTCCTCTGGACACGTGCAAGGACTTTGACATCCTTCTTAAATTGTGGGGCCCGGAGCTGCACACAGAACTGCGGGCGAGGCCGTGCCAACACTGAATACAGCAGGATAACCGCCCCTTGTGACCGGCTGGCTTTGCCGTGCTTGGTGCACCCCAGGATGGGGTTTGCCCCCTGGGCTGCCAGGGCACACACCGCTGGCTCACACTGAGCCTGCTGTCACCAGCCCCCCCAGATCCCTTTCTGCAGGGCTGATCTCCAGCCACTCCTCCCCCAGTTGAAAATTGTGGCCAGTGTTGCACTGTCCCAGGTGCAAAATCTGGCATTTGTTCCTGTTAAAATTGATGCCACTGATGGTTGTCCAATGCTCCAAACTATCCAGATCCCTCTGTGAGGCCTGTTGTCTTTCAAGAGAGTCAATAGCACCTCTCAGTTTGATATCATCAGTGATGAACAGAAAAGGTCAGATAATTTTCCTTACAAATCATAACACTTTTTTTTTTTTCTTAATAAGCTGTTTTCCAGAGACTAAACTTTTTATTTTTATTTTAAACCACGATAGGAATGTTTTACAGCAACTGTACAGGAACAAGAATTCCTTTTGTTAGCTGCTTGCTGACTGAGCAAACGATAAGGATCGTTTGTTGTTTTGATAAACCAATCTGCAAGCTATGTGTCATAGAAAAATAGAATGCTTTGGGTTGGAAGAGATCCTTAAAGATCATCTAGTTCCACCCCCCCTGCCATGGGCAGGGATACCTTCCACTAGACCAGGTTGCTCAAAGCCCCATCCAACCTGTCCTTGAACACTCCCAGGGAGGGGGCAGCCACAGCTTCTCTGGGCAACCTGTGCCTGTGTCTCACCACCCTCACAGGGAAGAATTTCTTTCGTATATCCAATCTAAACTTAATGCTCTTTCAGTTTAAAACTGTTGCCCCTTGTCCCATCACTACAGACCCTGGTAAAGAGGCACTCTCCATCTTACAAGGCCACAATAAGGTCTCCCCTTAGCCTTCTTCAGGCCGAACAACTCCAGCTCAGCCTTTCTTCACAGGAGAGATATTCCATTCCCCTGACCATTTTTGTGGCCCTCCTCTGAATTGGCTCTATCAGGTCCCTTGTCCTTGTTGACCTGGAGACCCCTGAGCTAGATGCACTACTCCAGGTGAGGCCTCACCAGAGAAGGGGAGAGGGGGAGAATCACATCCCTTGACCTGCTGCTCACACTTCCTTTTGTGTAGCCCTGATACGGTTGGCTTCCTGGTCTGTGAGTGCCCATTGCCGGCTCATGACCAGTTTTTCATCTATCAGTATTCCCAAATCCTCGACAGCGCTGCTCTCAATTCATCCATTACCCAGTCTGTACTGATACTGGGGATTTCACCTACTCAGGTGCAGGACCTTGCTCTTGGCCCTGTTGAATACGCGGTTCACACAAGGCCGCTTCACAAGCCTGCTAAGGTCTCTGTGGATGGCATCCCATCCCTCCAGTGTATCAGCTGCACCACTCAGCTCGGTGTCAGCCACAAACTTGCTGAGGATGCACTCAATCACACTGTCTATACTACTGATGAAGATATTGAATATTATTGGTGCCAGTATGGACCCCTGTAGGACACCACTTGTTGCTGGTTTCCACTTTGACAATGAGCAACTGACTTTGTTGGAGAAGGCCAATCAGCCAGTTCCTTATCCATCTAACAGTCCATCTGATAAACCCATATCTCTCCAATTTAGAGGCAAGAATGTTATGGGGGACCAAATCAAGGCCTGTTGTGGTTTGAGCCTACTCAGCAGCTAAATGCCACACAGCCGCTCACCCACCCTTCCCCCACTTGGGAATGGGGAGGGAATCGGAGGAGCAAAGGGAGACTCACGGGTTGAGATAAAAACAGCTTAATAACAGTAACAGAATAATACACTGACAGCAATATCAACAGGTAATGTACAATATACAGCTGCTCATCACCCACCTACCGACACCCGCCTGCTCCCAGCCAGCAATCCCAAACACCAAGGCCCCACAGCCACACTCCCAGAAGTGGCAGCCCCTCCCAGCCCACTCCTGCCTTTATATAGTGAGCACAATGTCACGTGACATGGACTATCGGCCAATCGGGGCCCAGCCCTCCAGCTGTGCTCCCCCCGCCCCCGCACACAGGTGAGGGCACTGGGCCCTGGGGAGCCCCTGGGGTCTCAGGGTGCTGCAGCTCCTCCCGCTGCCAGACCAACAGGAACTCTAGTCCAGCCTGAACCAGGACAATATCCACCCCTTATTCCATATCATTTTACATTATGCTCACGTTCCATATTTCTAATACATTCTTGTTATTTACTGTCCTCATCCTTGGTCAAAGACATATGCGCACAGATGTCATTCCCTCAGTCCATGGTCCATCATTGCAGGATGTATCATGAGTTCACTTGGTCCATAGCTTCAGGTTCCATCTGTCATAACAGTCCCTTCAGGCAGGAGGAGTGATGCTCAGTCAGTAGGGCAGAGGTGTCCTTAGACCTGGCAGGAGGATGGCATGCAGTCTCTATTGCAGCTGGAGCTGGTGGCTGATGCATCTGATGGTGTCTGTATTCACAGTCTGCGGCAGTCGCTGGGCATCAGTTGCTGGAACCAGTCCTATTTTCATCCACGTTCATGTTTGCCATAACAAAGCATTGGTAGGGTGGTGTGGTGACTAATCTAATACAGCTTATTGGCTATTTTCGCCTAACATTAAGTCCCCTTGAGGTACACATTGGACTTCCCTGTCCTGCATTACCCACCAAGTGCACGTGGGTCCTTGGGCAAAGGTAATTCCACGTATGGGCTTACCTTTACCTGAGGTAGGAATAACCCAGATGGTCTTCCCCAGCATGTTTTTAGGGTGCACTACCGGGACTCTGTCTCCATCTACAATATGCAGAATGTTTGACTGTGCAGGGCCAGCCTGGTTGGCAGATCCTCTAGTATTGACCAACCAGGTGGCCTTTGCTAAATGTGTGTCCCAATGCTTAAAAGTTCTGCCTCCCATTGCTCTCAGCATGGTCTTCAGTAGCCCATTATACCGCTCAATTTTCCCAGATTGGGGCATGATAGGGGATATGATATATCCACTCAGTGCCATGATCTTTTGCCCAGGTGTTTATGAGATTATTTTGAAAATGAGTACCATTATCTGACTCAATTCTATCTGGGGTGCCATGCTGCTACAGGACTTGTTTTTCAAGTCCCAGAATAGTGTTCCAGGCAGTGGCATGGGGCACAGCATATGTTTCCAGCCATCCGGTAGTTGCTTCTACCATTGTGAGCACATAACACTTACCATGCTGAGTTTGTGGGAGCGTAATATAATCGATCTGCCAGGCCTCCCTATATCTATACTTTAACCATCTCCCTCCATACCAAAGAGGTTTTAACCGCTTGGCCTGCCTGATCACAGCACATGTCTCACATTCATGGACAACCTGTGATATAATGTCCATAGTTAGGTCCACCCCTCGGTCATGAGCCCATCTATACGTTGCGTCTCTTCCTTGATGGCCTGAGGAGTCATGGGCCCAGCGAGCCATAAATTTTTCACCCTTATGCTGCCAGTCCAGATCTACTTGGGCCACCTTAATCTTTGCAGCCTGGCCCACCTGGTGGTTGTTTTGATGTTCTTCCGTTGCTTGATTTTTGGGTATATGAGCATCTACGTGGCGTACTTTCACAACCAAGTTCTCTCTTTGAACAGCAATATCTTGCCACAAATCAGCAGCCCAGATGGGTTTGCCTCTACGCTGCCAGCCACTCTGTTTCCACTGCTGCAACCACCCCCACAGGGCATTTGCCACCATCCATGAGTCAGTGTAGAGATAAAGGACTGGCCATTTTTCTCGCTCAGCAATGCTTAAGGCCAGCTGGATGGCTTTCACCTCTTCAAGTTGACTGGATTCACCCTCTCCTTCAACAGCTTCTGCGACCCGACGTGTGGGGCTCCACACAGCAGCCTTCCACTTCCGATGTTTCCCTACAATGCGACAGGACCCATCGGTAAATAAGGCATATCGCTTCTCATTATCTGGTAGCTCATTATATGGCGGTGCCCCTGCAGCTGGGGTCACCTCTTCCTCTGGTGACATTCCAAAGTCTTTGTTTTCTGGCCAAGTTGTGATTACTTCTAG